GGGCTCGGGCGGGAGGGCCCGGTCAGGACCCGGCCGCCGGTGCCGCTCTGCCTCGACTATACCTACGATTTTGTTCTTGGCTCTTTCTTTGTCCAGTTTCAAAAACTCGCTGAGGGTTAATTCTTCCAGCTGCTTCTTGACGGAGAGGAAGGCGCAGTGAGCCGAGTGCCTTCTGTGCTCCTGTCTGCAAACCAGCCGAGGGGTCAGCGGCCTCCCCGGCCCCCCGCATGCCCGCTGGGCGCCGCCCCAGCTCGGCCCACGCTGCGCCCACGCGTTGGCGCGGTCTCAGGGGCCACCCGTCGCGGCCGCAGGAGCCGCTTGAGGCTGGCCCCACGAAGGCGCCTGGGCGGCCTCTCAGCACCCGTCGCGGTGACCACCCACCCGGACAGCGAGGCCCCCAGGACAGCGTGGGGGCAGGACGCTCCACAGGACCGGCTGACCGGCCCCGGCCCGGCCTGGCCACAGAGCCACCTGCGAGCGAGGCGGCGAGCAGGGCAGACGCGCGAGGCCCGGCCAGGGGGGACCCCGGGGTTCTGTGGGGAGGGCTGGGGGAGCCCACAGGCCAGGAGAGGACACTCACTGGGCGGCCGCACACACGGGCCTCCTCAGACAACCGGCATCCGGGAGCCCACGGCCCGGCGGCCCTGGCCCCCTCAAGGCTGTTTGCCAGCTGGCTCGGGCGCGCGGCTCGTTTCCAGAAGCCCCAGGCAGGCGCCCACACCCACCCCTGGGAGTCCGGCCGCTGGGGTTCCGCGGAGACCGCCAGGGCCGCTCCCACTGGCCGCCCCCCCCCCCCGCAGAGCCCGCGCAGGGCACTCACAGGGGGTCGTCATCTGGCTCCCAGCCCTCCAGCTCCTTGAAGCAGAAGAAGCACTGGGCCAAGTCGGGCTCGTTGTCGGTGGGGCAGTGGACGAAGCCCGCCTCGGCCATCTGCGAGGAGACACGGCTCAGGCCCCGCGCGGTCGTGGCTCTAGGAGGCGTCGCTCCGGCCCGGCCGCCCACACGGGCCGGAGCTCGGGAGGGGCCTCTGGGGCCGGAGCTCGGGAGGGGCCTCTGGGGCCGGAGCTCGGGAGGGGCCTCTGGGGCCGGAGCTCGGGAG